CAAACAAAAAATCACTGAAGCATACATACTTGAAACACTCATTCTGTCTCAAATGCATGTGTAGGATTTCTCCAAATGCTTTCCAGAATTCATAATGTAACCATACAATAGTGATTCACCAGAATAGACAGTTCTGAGAATTGGCAAAATACTATTTTGCAGTCTTGCTATAGAGAGGGAAGACAGCTCTGCAGGAAACAAAACTGACTAAAAGCACAAAAACAAAAAAAAAAAAAAAAAGGAAAACCCAAACATACAGAACTATAGAAATCAAATCAAACCCCACTACCCCACCATTAGGTCATGCTGGTTTTCAGGAACATCTAGCCACCAACTTCAGGGTGACCATTAGCACACCGATTTAAGAGAGGGATGAGCTCTTGCAAAAAAAATTAAAAATTGTTCAACACAACTTAATGTTACTTGCATTGATTTTGAAAATGAATTACCAAACCCTTCTTGAATTCTCACATACTGCTTATTCCTGTAAGAAATGGGTGTTTTTTATTTTGTAAAACGTTCCCATCACAACACATCTAAGGCTATCTTCCCTAACCAAACAGTCACGCCAAGCAGCTCAAGCACACTTGCAGGAAACCTAATTTATTATACATGCCAGATTGCAGCTGTAGACATCTCTCCAAGAGCTTGAAGTGCAGAACTGTCATTCTTTGGCACCACCTTTCAGAGGTCAACTAAATCATGTTAAAATTAGATTTGCTGTAAGATTGTTTGAGAGGTTTTGAAGTATTCCTTTAGCCAGCAATAACGGGTTCGCTGAGAGCTAAGCAGCGGGAGGCAGCCTGAGACTTGAGAGTACTTTCAGCTGGGGGAGGGTGTGAAAAACAACCCCCAGCATTTCTCAAAACCAGTGCAATGAACCCACATTTTGTGGGAGTATCAAACCTGTATTTCTGCATAAGACACATACTACATATTTAGCAAAAATACTACTGCACTCCTCCAAATAATAAAAAAATTACAAGTTACATTCCACTTACATGAGTGACAATCACTTGACATTTCACAAATTATATTCTTTTAGCATCCAGCTACAACATATTTCTATTTTTTCCCCAGTGTTTCTGAATTTGAAACAAGAAAGTTTAAAGGTTGCTTAACCAAAGAGAACCTACAACCACCCAAGAATCTCCACACACTAAGTTCCAACTCCTGCCTTAATGCTGACCCTACACAGAATGGTATCGGACAGTGTGACACAAATACAGAACAGCTATATGTTATAAGAGTTGAAAGTCCCAAAGTGGTTACTGAAAGCAGCACAAGGAAAGCCTTCTGCTGTGCTACGTGAGATTACTTAACCACACCACCTCCTCCTCATCAGTTTGCTCCATTGGACACACATGAAACTTTCACGAGCTTCTGAAACTTCTGACGCAAAGATTGTCACTGCCATTAATTCAAACTTGACATGAGGAGACGTTTCTTTTTAAGAAGGTAGTTTTCTAATTTGGTAAAGAAAACATTTTTTTCCTCTTGTGAACAGAAAAAAAAATATTGGTTAAATGTGCAGGAAATTATTTGCCTTAATTGTTTTTTTAATGGTTTTACAACTCAATTAGCAAAATAATATGCCATGTGCTCAAGGTAAGAAAAGACCACACGATGAGGTAAGAAAAAGTACATGGCACATCACAGGACTTAGCCAAAAGTAAAGGAGACCTGCCACAATGGCAACTCTGCTGACAACTACTAGAAATTAACAATAGAGAATCTAGAAAAAATACCAGAACATGAAGATCACTTGGTAAAACATTTGTAGTTTTAAAAGGTGTTTGTGAAATTCTACTGAATTGCTACTAAAAAAAATGCACAGTATTATTTCGCAAAATATTATTTGATCCCTCCTTGAGCTATTGCAAGATACAACAGTGACAGAGAAGAAGTTTAAAAATAAAATATAAAAACATAAAAAGGGACAGAGCCTACGTGCATTGAATTTCCATAATATTGCTATGTTCCAGGAACCATACCCATCCAATCTGGCTGCTTCTACTTTCACACAACAGTCAGCAGCAACCTCCACGCACAAAACCAACTGAAGCAGAACAGACAGACTTAACCCTGCAAAACAAAACCTGAAGAAGCCGACAAAGTCACCTCTGAAGGCACTCCTAAATCGGTAGTGAAGAGCAGAAGCACCAAATGTGAGATAAAAGAGTGAAGATCCATAACTGAAGTAGGAATAGTACACACTCTAAATATAGACTCTATCCCGCACACAGATGTAACCTCATTGACATGAGTAATCCCACTGCAGTCGCTGGCACCATTCACAGGACTGAAGCTACACAAACACTTGGGGCTCTGCAAAACCTGTGTTAAGATTTTAATGTGGACTCTAACTATTGCCTTCTGCAACCGCGCAAGGCAAAGCCCTCCAAATCTCTTAACCAACTACACGCTTCTTCTCCATCAATGCCTGATCAACAGGATCGTCCACTAAATGTCTCAGAGAAGAAAATCTACTGAATGAAACCTGGAAAATTGCTGCCAACAGAAATCACCAAGTGTTTAAGATCTGCACGCCCTGATGGCTATATGACTTCTTGTTGTTTTAGGGAGACAATAATTCATTTTTTATTCATTAAAGAATTCATTAATTCTCCCTAAAACATGTTTTAGGGAGAATTAATGAATTCTTTAATGAATAAAAAATGAATTAAAACATGTTGTTTTAGGGAGACAACAATAATTTGATGGGTTTTGTTCAGAATTTTAATCTAAACATTTTCTTAAACTGAAGAGAAAAACATGAACAAGAATGTTGGTTTTTAGAAGAAAAAAATGATGACAATGCTTGCATTTCTGTAAGAGCAGAGATCTTCACCCACCAACCTAATTTCACGTGCTTATTTGTAACAGCACTGAAAAAAATCACTTGGAAACTTGATCTCATTTGTTGAATTTGCTGGTGCTGGCTAATGCATATCCACACATTCATGTAATAACTGAATCTGTTCATCAAGTAAAAGATTGCTATTTTTTTTTTTTTTTTTTTTTGCTATAGTTGGTTATAAAATGTACATATTATTTATATCATGGTTGATTTTTACAAAACTTTCCTACTTTTTGTCAGTAAAGCCCCAGCCACGTTGCAGGAAGACTTTATTCCTACAAGTCAGAATATCCAAACAAAACCAACAACCTTAAAAAAGACTGCTGAAAGAAATACATGCAATTTGGAGACCAAAAACTCTCTCCAGCTAGAAGCCGTACGTTTCACAGCTCACTTCTTTGTTTTGACTTTTACCAGCGCAACTGTTGATGATCAGAAGTAGAGGGAAGAGGAAAGCAGTCAGTCACAGGACAGTGACTAAAGAAGCTGCTGAAAATACAGACAATCCTCCAACTTTATCAGCAAGTTTTGTCACAAAGCAAATATTCTGATATACACCTTGTCAGTAAATAAGATAAACAGGTACGCCCAGCTTCTCTATAAAAGCAGGGCACATTAGTTCTGTACTACTACCTACCAGGATCAGGCGTAACATCAAGAAGTTACGCTAAGCCCCACATGCCAGTGACTCAACAAAGTAACTTCTTTTTAACACACGCATCGGTGCATGCTTACACACATACACAAACACACTTCCTGGCAAACCTCATGCAGCTTTCCTCTGTCTCTCATTTCTCAACGCCATTAACAGTCCCGTAGTTGTTATTCTGTCCTAAGCTTTAATTGAACCAACTGTCAAAACACTGCAAGCTTTATGGCAGAATAAATGAATAATTGGGCTCATTCCCATCTGCAATCCAAGGGATGGCACAGCATGCCCACGGCCCTACAGAACATGCACGGGAGTTACCTGCACCCGACGTTTACAGCAACGACTGGCACTCCGCCACCTAAGTCTCATAATCGTACGACTTACAGCCTCTTTCACGGCGTAGAGACTCAAATAAATTCTCGACGAGGAAACTCTCCGGAAGACACAAACGAATACCACCCCCCCTTCCGGAGCTAACCGGCGTCGTGGACGAAGCCGCGTAACCTTCCACTCCTTGCCCAGGCCTCTGCCTTGAAAACAAAGAGCTGCCGGCCGCCCCCCGCCCCGCGCGGATTCCCCGCACCGCGGTGCCTCAGGGCAGGCGGCGGGCGCCCGCGGGGCTCCGTTCCGCACCGCCCACCGGCGGCGGACCCGCAGCGCTGCTCCCGGTACCCGGCGCCTCCCGGCCCGCCGACGGCCGCCCGCCCTCAGCGGGCCCGCGCCCGGCCCGGCGTCCCCCCCGCCCCCACGGCTGACAGGGCGCGAGGCCGCGAGGCCTGCGGAGGCCGTCCCCGGCGCGGGCGGCCTACTGGCACCGCGGGGCCGGTACTCACGGGGAAGGCTCGGATCCGCATCTTGGTGTCCTTCCGGCTGCCCGTCCCCTTGCTCAGGTTCGACATCTTCGGAGCCGGCGTTGGCGGCGCCCCCCTGGGGAGGGGCGCGGAGGACGCGCGGGGGGCGGCGGGGCCGGGCGGGAGAGGCCGCCGGCGATCTTCGCCGCGGGCTGCGGGCCCCGGGACTGCGCGGAGGGCCGGCCGGGCCGCGGGGTGGTGGGGGGAGGTGGGAGCGGCGGAAGGCGAGGCGGCGGCGCGGGGCCCTCGCTCCGGCGGCGGTGCTTCCTTCACCCGCCTCCTCCGCCGCGATGGCGGACAAACATCGCTCAGTGCGCAGGGCCGAGCGCCCCCCTGCTTCCTCCTCTTCCCTTCCCCTTCCTCTCGCTTCCTCCCCTCCCCGTCCCGTCCCACCGCCCAGGGCGCAGCGACGAGGGACGGATCCGGCCGCGGCGGCGGCGGGCGGGGGCGGCGGGAGGGCCGCGGGGCGGGGCGCCGCCGCGGGGCGGGGGGAGGGGCGCGCCTCGCCGCTCTCGCGAGACTTCCGTCGATCTCGCGAGACCGTCCGGCGAGCCGTCACCGCCGCGGCGCGGAGCGGGTGGAAGAGGCGCGCGGCGCCGATTGGCGAGGGGCCGCGGCGGTGGGCGGAGCTTCCCGCGAGGGTCCGGCAGCGCCCGGTGCCGGCGTCGCGGAGCAGGTACGAGGTACAGCGTCGCGGGGCCGCGGGGCTTCCTCGGACTGCCCCAGAGGGACCGTGCACGGCTCTCGGCTCTCGTACGGGAAAGGTTCGCGACGCTTGGGGGGCTGAGGCCGGGCAGCCCCTCCCGCGGTGCCCGCGCCGACCTCCGCTCCCGCACGGAGCGGCACGCGGTGCTTGGCCGCTCTGCCGCCTTTGATGTCTCCAATTCTGCCCCTCTGAGTCGTGTCACCCGTGGGCGTTTCCCTCCGCGGAGACGCAGAGTGGCATGACGCAAGGCATTTATTTGTGTTTATGTTTTGTTTTGCCGTCACGATGCGTGCCTGAGAGATGAGAGTGCCACCTGAGGCGATGCTGACACGGGCACGGAGCTAAATATAGGCCGCTCGGGAAAGGGCAGGTGCTGCAGGAGGAAAGGGTGTTTAGCAAGTGCCAGGGCCTGTAAGCCGGCAGCAATACAGCTCCCCGAAAGATAGGCTGGTCAACAGGAACATAATGCATCAGGGCCTGACTGCGGGTAGGGGATAGAGCTTAAAAGCAGGGTCTAGAGATCACTGGCTTGACGTCCCCGAGGATGCACACCACGCAGCCGGGAAGAGAATCTCTTCTAGGTGACTTCTAGGACTGGATAGCAGAGCATCCCGCTGCACGTTCTTCCTGCAGCTCTGCTTACCTCTCCCATCACAGCTCCCCTCCAGGAGCCTCTGCAGCACATGCCCTCAGGACACCAGAGAACTTCTCTGAGCTACTTTACCTTCTGAAAGAGCAACTGCGTCCCTTTTGTCTCTGTGTTTGTTACAACCATTTCCCACTGGGGCTATAAACATGCTGGTACACTTTAATCTCATCAGAATTAAGTATATGCCTGGAGAAGATATTATATAACAGCAGCACAATAAACAATGATTGCAGCAGCACTATGCAATGCCAGTGAGTCCTTAAAATTACAGCATAGTCAATGCAGATCAAACAGATGAGATGAGAAGGGAAGATTGCCGTTTGCTAATACAAAGAACACAGCTTCCACATTGTTTCCACATCATTTCAATATTTGTTTTGCTCGTGTTTCCTTTTCAAAATTAGGACATTTTCAGACACCTTTTTCTTTTCCCCTTTGTAAGACAACTAGGCCAAGTAATTTGAAAAGTTTTGGTTTTGACTTTTGTAAAAAGAGCTTGAAAAACTAAAGTGAAACGTAAATTTGTACTGGAATGCAGCTTTCAATCTGAAAATGTTACAAGAGTACTATGCAAAAAATTCAGTGTTGTTTTCAAAAACCAAAGCTTTTCTTAAGAACTGTTTTTGAGGAACTGGCATGTCTTCTTCCAATAAAATTAAAAAAAAAGAAAAAACAAAAAGAACTGCTGAAAACCATCCCTATGTGCTTTTCCTGTATCCATTGCAGCAGATTGCTCCGGATTAACTTCTCCCGTTACTGCTTTTGTGCTTCCTCTCATACTGGTTTTATGCTTATGGCAGCCTAGGAACACTAGCTTCTTCCTTTTTCTTGATCCAAGTTGCTTGTTGTTTGTGAGTATTTTAATCTAAAAGTTTGAAAAGCGCCCTTAGTTGCTGTTGGTTTAGGCTCAATATGCTGAATAAAAATTAAAATATTCATACTTAAATTCTCATGTCAAGTAGTTTTATTTTACACTGTGAGCTTACAGATACAGCACCTTATCACAAGTATTGCTAGTGCTAACCTTATTATTAAAAGCTGAAATTGCAAGAGACTTGTTTTTGTGTGGATTTATGATCCAGGGGGGATATGTGCTGTATAGAAATCCACCCACAGCTCTTTCCTTCGTGTCTGAGGTCTTCTCTGAATGCACAGGGTGGAAGCAACTTTTGTAGTACAAAGCTTCTACTTCCATTCACAGTGTACAAAATGAAGTTCAGCTAAAAGTTAAGGCTTTAAGCTTACACAGATGACTAATTTAGAGGTTCATTAAGTGCTTATAATGTTAATTCTTGGTAGGTCAAAGCCAGAAACAAGACAGATGGGTGGAAGACATTAACATAGGAAGAAGTAGCCGCCCTATTGCTTAAACAGATCATCTCAGCTATCTTGCCTGCAGATCTTCTGTGTCTTGTTATTCCTGCAGCCAAGTAACGGTTTGTGTGGGGAGGAATGGGCTCGCTTCTTGAAAGTTCAGGGTTTTTGTGTTACAACAGCCTTACACACATTTTCTGCTAGTGCTGGCCACATGCAACTATGAGGTATAAGGGCCCTCAGAACGACTTATATGGAACAGAGAAGAAATCAGTAAAGCAGCCATTTACTCTTTTTTTTTCTTTTTTTTCCTGAGGTCATATCAGTCCTTCTCTGCTTTTAGATATCACTGATATCACTAAACATGTTCACCTTAATGAGATGTCACCATCTTTCCATAGCATGGTAAGGATGACCCTTCTCATGGACATGTTTATCTTGAAGGTGGCACAAATCTTTAATTACTTAAATTCTATCTTTATAATCTGATTCAGCACTCACCTTAGTCATGCAAAGAGTAGTAGAAATTTTGGAAGAAAGGTGAAGAGCGCATTACATGAGAATCAATCTTAATTTACCTTCTCATAATGAGGACTTTAAAACAAGGGCATGGCTTTTGTTTAAGATACAGAAAAATATTCTCTGTACATCTGAGGGAATGCTATGTATTTCACATTGTGATCTTTTTCTCATTAAGGCTTGATTGTGCTCCACCGAAGTCAAGATGTTTTGGAAGTAAATATCACTTTCAAGGAATCATACATGCATAATTCCCCTTACTCCTACAACTGTCAGCAATATTTGACTATTAAAATAAACAAGGAGAAAAAAAAAAAAAAAAAAAAAAAAGATTTACATTGCAGCAGGAAACAGAATGACCCAGTCCTGCTCCACAGAGAGCCCAAAAGGCTCACTGCAAATACAGGGACAGATGTTTTAGGGTTTGACCTCTTTCTGTAAGGTCCCATTGCAGAAAAAAAAGGAACAAAACAGCTTTTGCATGTTGCTGTGGGAAATACAGCAAGTGTGTTCTCTTTAAAGCCAGAATTGGGGGAGGGCTGTTGGTTTTTTTTGTTGTTTTTTTTTTGTTGTTGTTGTTGTTTGTTTTTTTTTTCTGTACATGACTGCACACTTTGCATGTGGTATCTGCTTTCAGACTTGTATGAATATGTGATGCAGTAACCATAGCTATAAAATAGTCTCTTCACTTTCCTTATCTTCCCCATTGGGTGATACAATTAAAAAAAAAATCATTCTTTTTATCACAACTTCTACAACCTAAGAAAAAATGTATATATTTTTAATTCCACAGAGATAGGCACCAGCAAAAGAGGCATCCAAAGAGTGAAGCACAGGGCAGATTTGAATTGAGTGTGTGGTGATTTCTGCCAGAAGTAGTTCTGCCACATGCAGAATCTTATTCAAAATCACTGAAAGAACAGCAAAGCTCAGGACAACCAGGTAAATGTATGCTTTTAGTGTCCTGTCTCCGTTCCTGCTCTGCAGATCACAGTAATGTCTTCCTGACTAACTGTGCGCACGGGAGCTGTGTTGGTCCAGTCCCCAACCCACAGCTAGCTGATGCTTCCACCTGTGGTGTGCAGTCTGAGCTGTGCAAAAGGAAGACAGGCAGCAAAAGATTTTTTTGCTTGCTCATTCCTTACAACTTTTGACTAGGCTGTGTTTAAACAAAATTTCTGTTGCATTTGAATGATACCACAAATAAACATTAAAATATGACAGCGTAAACAGCTCAACAGTTCCAAAATCAAAACAGTCTGAAATACTTCCAAACATTCTCACAAGCAGGAAGGAAATGAGACTCTGTGGCACTGTCCGAGCCCTGCTCTATCCATCAGCAACCAGACTCAGCAGACAGAACCCCTGCTGGTGTGCCCATCCCACAGCCCCACTCCTTGTCTGAGCCTTGCTGGCTCTGGTTGGTGCAAGCAGGCTGACTGTGCTCTGCATGCAGAGCCTGGCAGGAGATGTGCTGAGGCTGCTGCAATGAGTGCGTCGTGTAGTGGCACATTTCAGAAACAGGTCTAACCAGACAATGTACATAATAACAAAAATTAATGCTGTGCAACCAGTGCTGGCTTCCCTTGCAGTACCTGACCCACTTCAAGGTTGATGGAATAATACATGGAATAATAATGAAGTCCTTAACAGACTGATTCAAGTCTCTGTTCAAGTGCAAACTTATGCCTGTAATGCATGCCTGTGACTGTCATCTTGCACAAGATGACTGCAAAATACCCTGGCAGACTGATGGCCTGTAATTCCCAGCACTACAGCTTCTCCTACAGCAGCAGCTGCTGCAATTACTGTACAGACTGTTTCTCTTGTACCCAGCCTTGGTCTCTGTCAAACAAAGACTGCAGCAGTGCAGTGTAACTGTGCGAAAGCCTGGCATCCTTGCTGCTCTGCTACTACCACACTGAGAAATGGCAGATTCTTGTGCTAGTTCCATTTTCTAGATTTGAGCCTCACTGTCAGTAGAGAGTTTGTACAGGCAGTGTGGTTTGGTCACAACAAGACCTGTGTGCTCACATTACACACACACAAAATAAAAAATGTCAATGCTTCAGCTGTTGCAACCAATAGGGAAAGCTGCAATGGTGGTAAAACAAGTGGTTCAGGTGCAGACATTTTCCTACCTGGTAATGCAATGTTAGAGAGGAACAAATGTGTATACAATGTGTCAGAAAATGGCCAGAAAGAGGCAGATGCTCCAAACTACTGGAGGCTAATTTTCAGAGAAAATGTGTTTGTTAGGAGAAAAATAAGCACTGTGCTCCACCCCAGGTGGAAATAAGAGATCACACTGTAGCACCATCATGCACCAAGACTCCAAGGTTAAGAGAGGAATCATCCTGGTGCATCAAACACCTGCAGGGAAAGTGGCTTCTGTGAGTGCTGCCATTGAAATCAATTAGGAAAAGACTGCAAGACAAAACGATTGGACACTGAAGCTAGATTAAAATCATTTCAGCACTGAAGGTAATTATTCCTTAAAACCATTTACCAAGGGATGTGACAGATCCTTATTCACCCTGTCAGCTGAAGCTTGGTATCTTGCTGAATAGCAAGCCAGAATCCAAACAGAGCAAGTTTTGTCAGGATGGACTGAGCTGCTTTCTGCATAGCAGGAGCTCTGATCACCAAGATGCTCCCATCAGCTGTACCATCACAGCAGCCCACCTGCAGCAGGCAGGCAGGCAGTGGGTAGGCCCTGAATAGGCAGCAGGTAGGCTGTGCAGCTGCTCAGTGGCACACAGTGCCAGCAGGGACATTTCTCCAGGTGCCTGGCAGATCTGCTTCTTGTGGGAACTTAGTGCCAGCTCAGTTTCCTTGGGAGTGAAGGAAGTTGCTTTGAGAGTTGAGGGGAAAGCCTGTTATCACATTTTGGCAGTCATGCTTGCCAGAGATTACCATGCTTCTGGCCAGTACCAACTTTCATGCCTCAGCTACACTGATGCTTCCTGTTAGTTAAGTGACAGACTTGGTCGGCCTGCATTCTTGAAATGCCTGTATGTTTGTGGCCATTTCACACTCTGGTATAAACTCTAGGTTTCTCACATGGAAATTTTCTCCTCTTAAACACATGCTTTGTTTTAAAAGTTATTTAATCACAGCTAAGTGTCTACTCAGATGCAGTTTGTATTCTTTCCAGATCCTTTGCAGTGCCACACAAAGCCTTAGGTAGCAAAGTGAATGATCTTTAGTCTAGGTTCACCTATGTACTGGAGAAGCAGCTGGGCCTGTGTAAGAGATGACAGGCATTCAGACATTTGTCATCACAGCAGCCATCCAGCCAGCCCTATTGAACAGTGAAGATGGTACTCACTGATCCTGTTGCCTTTGAAACATGTGAGGAGTGAGTGCCCAGGTGATTTGTTTTGGACACCTGAACTATACCAGGAAGAGGGTAATTTCCATTTTAAGGATGGGAACGCACGTCTTTGAATTCCACAAGGCCATCTCTACAATGGCCACATGACTGTAGCCTCAGAAAATACTCATTATTTTCAATAGGGCTGCCAGTAAACATCCTCTTCCAGACCTGGCTCTGCAGGCTAAAGATCCTGGGACTGGAATTGTCACTCCTGGAAATCAGGCCTCTTTTTGCAGCTCTGCAGGCTGGAATTATGCTGCTCTCTCCCAAATCTGCCCTGGACAAAGCACGCTGCTGGGCATAAGCCCACATTTGTCAGTTCTTTGAATTAACCCAGCTGACCTTGCCTGAAGCAGAGTATTGTGCACTTATTCCCTGGACACACACACATTTTTGGCAGAGCTGTGCAGGTGGTAGGTAGCTCAGCTATGGTGAAAATGCAGAACTAGAGGGCGAGGGAGCAAGGCTTTCAAAGTCAAAGAGGCTTGCAAACTGAATACTCACAAGTGGTCTCTTAAGTCCTTAGGTTGGCTGCCCAATGCAACTGTCTGGTTTTTCAGTTCTGCATAATAAACATCCCTGAAAATCACAACTGTCCTTCAGCCTTTACACAGCTTTCAATTCAACTTCAAGATTGAGTTCAATGCAAAAAGTGACCTGTTTAATGGATTTTATACAATGACAATAAATTTAGACACTATTCTTCTTCAAAGCAGACAATTATTTGTAATATCTTTACTAGACTATTATCTAAGGGCCAACTAACAATTTTCATAGCCAGCACCAGACAAGCACAAAAAATTATAGACAGCCTTTTCATGTGAACAAGTTTGCAAATGATGTTGATAAGGTAGGTTACAGGGAAGGTGTGGCAGGAAGGAAGGTGTGTTTGCAGGACTAAGATTGTGGTTCTCAGATTTTCAGTCTGAAAAGAGTCCTAAAGCAGCCCACCTCTCTAAACAGTCATGCCATGGAATGCAATTAAGGATAAGCTTTTGATGTCAACGAGGTATTTGTTTTACCTTCAGGAAATACCGAAATAAACACTGTCTTGCGTAGTATGACAATGCCTGGTAAAAGATATACTCAAATGTGATTAGAAGACAAAGGACAGAAAAAACAAAATAGGATGAAGAACTATATACACTAGAGTGCAAATCTACATCTATGCATGACTGCAGTATCAAGATAGGCATACTACGTCTAGCAAAATCTTCCCAATAGAAATGTAGTGTATATCAACTAAGGTTTGTTACTAATGTACTTTATCCAAGCCTGATGTGCTGAAAAGATATTTGGACAACAGTAATAAGTTTTGCAGTGGTACTCGGAATGGCAGTCAATTTCTTAGCATCTCTTTCTGACCTAAATTCTTTCTGAGGACTAAAATCTGTTGTGGCCAGATCTCAATGCATACTTGGCTCCACTTACCTGGCTAGAGGTTGTTTTATTCATGTCATTATTAAAGTCACTACTTAGATTTAAAATGCTTTTAAAGAGTTTGCAGATTCTGCCCATATAGCATAAGCCAAGAAATATTCTTCAAATGAGGCATACAGGTTGCACCCAGCACTCCTGAAAATCATTTGTATTGCACATATTTGTGATCTGCTAAATTTAAACAAATAGCAAAATTGGTACCATAGAAAAATGATATGAATTTATAAAATGCCTCTCTTTTAATATTGATAGAGAATACTAGTAGTAAATTTAAGACAATGTAAGACAATAAGAATGATTTTTGAAATATAATAATCTCCTTTTCAGTTCAAAATGATCCTGCTATGTCTAACTGGGGGTGGAGGAATACAGAATTCCTCAAGTTACTTGCCTTTAATCTCCTTTTCTATTTTTCTGGTTCTTCTAAATGATGAGTTATAACAATTACAGATGAGCGTGTGCTATCAGCAGAGACCTTTGCCAACCAATAATATAGATTCAGTTATATGATTCATTACTTTCTATTGGCTTCAGGATTTTAGTATTGAAGAACGTGAAAATTATGAAATAATCATAGCATATTGGGATTTTCAAAATGATGCAATTTCACTTTTTCATCAATATTACTTAATATTTCCTTCAAGTTTACTTTGGAATTCATCATAACAGACATCTCTGACATCTCCAATATGCAGGATGCCTTTGTGTATTCACATATATTAGAAATACCTTCTATTCATTTGCCTGTGATGGAGGACGTTTGTCACTAGGGCTCCAGCCTGCACTCCCTGAGTCACAGAATGTACTATGTGTGGTTAGGAAGTGCAGGCTTGGTGCTGGTGCCTGCCAGGAGCAGTACCCAGATGGAACCGTGGGCACCAGCAGCTGGGCTCTTCCAGGCTCCCTCAGGCCTTGGTTTGCTTTACTAAAGACATCCGTGAATTCTCCTCCTCAAAGATTTCCCATCTTATTTTGCTAATTTTTAAGCCAAGTAGGCATCTTAGCAGAAAAGGAATTTGACAAACATATGCATAAATGAAAAACACACGGCATAAATGCTAACTGCAAGCTTAGTCTCCAGCACCAGATTGTTCAGAAAAATAACAGCAAGAAAATTCCAAGGTGGTCCCACAGTGTTTCAGAAATAATAGAAGCGATGTTCCTATTGTAGCCATTTCACTGCTGAAATCCTGCAGTTTAGGAATTCTTAGACACTGAACAACAGCTCAGCAAAGCCTGCTTGGTTTGCGAATTTCTTAAAACCAGGAGTGCCAAAGATTTTTTTTTCTGCCAAATTACTTGATGTCAGCCAAATGAAAAGGTGTAAATCCTTTTCTCTTGCGCACTCAGTTCCTGTAGCAGTTCTCAGGACCTGACAGAGATTGAAATTACCTGCTATTAGCAACAAGAAAAAGTATGAGGCAGAATGCCAACTTCTAAATTAAACAAACAAAAATCCTTTTCTAGCTAGCTTTAAAGACAAGTATATTTCTTTCACACCTAGTGCTCAGTACACAGTCAAGTTTAAGCGAGCAGCTGGAAGAGTACCAAAGACATATATACTTACATGCATTTTTGAACACATCCCAGAGATCTCTGAAGACATCCCTCTCTCCGTCTCTGTGCCAGCTGGAATACTGGGAGTTGGGAAGATTTTTTTATCAGAGTGGAAAGGCCTAAGGATTGTTGCACAAGTCCCATCAGCATCATGGTGGCACAGTTGTCTTTCAAGAAACATATCTAGAGAATTTTGTAACTAAATTCTCTCCTTAATTTTATTGTAGATTTTCACTCAAGAATATTGATATGTTTTTTGTTTTGTTTCGTTTGATTTTTAGATTTGCTTTTACACTTTGGGACTCCTCTAACTTCTTCAGGAAATTATTCTAGTGAACAGAAGTCCAAAAAAGCCTTTTCTCAAATGCATCCATTATCTTTAATAACACATTCCAAACAGTTCTTCACTATGAGTAAGAAAACAACAGATAAATGAGCTCTTTTCTGAAAGAGGGAGAAATGTCTAAAAATGACTTGTTTATTGCAGGTTTCTGTAACATAAGTGTGCACCATATGCAGGAACTGGGGTGTTTCATTGTACACTGTGGTCCCAGTAAATATAATGCTGGTCTTATTAAACAGTAATGTTTGCTGTTTACTGACAAGAAAAAATGTACATGTCTGTAAGGAGTACGATGATATTCCAGACTTGCTTCATAGTATTTGTAGGAAAGAACCCATAAAGAAGAGAGGAACTTCAAAGTCCAGCTCTTCAAACCATCTGCCAAATTCCTAAACCTTGCTAGAAAGCGAGGTTGGTTCTGAAGGGGGCTAAAGACATAGTTAAATAGATGCAATTCCTTCTAATATTAACAGTCTTCCAGGCTTCTATGAATCTCCTGCTAAACCTTATGGGGTGATACATAAGCCTACGCTAGAAAACTGCTTCTCTAAGTTCAGAAGGACATGCTGATTCACTGGCTTCCTAAATCTTCATATTTGGTGTTTTTATACTTTGGCATTCAGTCCTACACCAGCTGCAGAAGTACGTGACAGGACATGCTGGATAACTCTGATTTGCCACCACTTGGCATGATGTTGATGTGCACCCGTCCCCTGCCAGTGGTGAGAGGCTGCTTAGACCTCAGTCAGTTCTCTCTAGTACTTCTTCCTATTGAAAGGTAAGAGTGAAGAGGAGCTTGCCTCTCTTCCTTTGGTGGAAGTGCTGTTGAAAAGCCACATATTACTATAGTGCTCCACATACAGAGAAGACAGATCAGCAACAGGAAGAAAAATGAATACAGACGCCATCCTACGAGCCCTTGCCCACAGCTTGTTCAGAAAATACCTCAGACATTCTGCAAAACTCTGAACAGTGCCTTGCTCAGAATATACCCATCCAGTTTTAATATACTTCAGTGGTAAGATTCTTCTCAGACAGAAGCTCGAGTTCCTGTCTTAGAAAGGTTAACAGAAACAGAACAGAAATGCTTTTTTACCATCAAGATGTCCAAGATTTTCTAGTCATAATTCAGTAGAGCCTAAAACACTTGAACTCTTTCTTCATGTCATTTTACATTTTTCCTTTTTTTTCTAGATATTCATATCAAAAAAGGAATACCAGCCATCTTCCCCTGCAGAGAAGTCTATACCATACCAACCATTTCCTTATGTAGTTATACCAAGCTCTTTATGCATGTGTTAGCATTAGCTTGTGAAAATATTTTTTGGACTTTCCCTTCTGATCAAAACTCTTTGCATCTACTTCTGTGACTTCCTCCTGTGTGCAGCTGTGTCAGACATCAAGGTCTTTGAAACCGTCACGGTGCTGAACAGAGCAGGCAAGGCAGGCTGCTGTCACTGCTCTATAGTTGTTACTTGCACCAGACGTCTTCCTTTAAAAAAAAATACATATTTATGTGCACATATTTATATACACACATACATGCATATATATTTATTCTCAGTAGCCTTAGTTTGCTTAACAACAATACATATTTTAAGATACACCTCATCATTCATAATAACATATGTATTACCAAGGCTTATTTGTGAAGGCCTTTTAAACTTGAAACTTAAACATTTAATTAAAACTTACTGTGCTTTTCAGGCCTGCTTGCATGGGGCCAAGCTGGAAGTAGAGCTTCAGAGCTCAAGTCTCCTTTCTACAGCAGTAAGGAAAAATGGTGCCTCTCTTCAGATGACAGAAATTTAAGCATTAGAGCAGAATTTTCCTCACAGTGTTTTCTCTTTGGTATTATGTGGTAGGTGAAATGCAGAGGATTTTGCTCTCTGTTTTAATGACAACTCGTGGCAACAGCAGAATTTTTCATTCAGGGATTTCTCAGGGCCATAGGAATGACTTGGCTTGAAGGACTGTGCGTCCAAACACACAAATTACCCAATAAAATCTATTATTTTCCTCATGCTCAACAGTGCTAGCTCTATGAATCAAAAGCTCTGTTGGCTAATCCCATATCTTAATTATAATTTAGTGACAGGTATGGATTTGAAGGATTTTTCGGGGTTAATTTGACCGTGTAGTTTTCAGGTGCTGGAAAGATGTTCTAGCAATCCTACCTCATTTTCCCTTTGTTAAAGTGTTGTGCAAGTGTTGTGCTTACAGTACTCAAGAAAATGTCACGGTGGTATGAATAATCCTGAATGCAGGACAGCTTGTTCAGTTACCTAATACACAGTGTTTGTCAGAGCAGCACAGAGCTGGGCACCCTGCTCTGTGGCAGCAGCCTGCTGCTCAGGAACGGGCATTGATCTGGAGTCAGAATACTCCACTGCAAGTCCCTCTCCTAACCCTCAAAGAGAAGGAACCAAGCCATATAGCTGAGGATGTTAGTCTGTATTAGAAAAGTGGCCTCAAACCTGTTTAATAACTCCTTCACTTTAGGTTTGGAAGCAGGCAATGAAACCTTCAATGCCCATACTTAAACAGGAGGGGAGAGAAGACATACTGCCTTATTGCACTAAGACGCCCCAGCAAGTTGCATGCCTGAAACTCCATTATGGATTTTGGCATCTGAATGCTTCCACAGGATAAAATGAGGAATGAAACTATTGGCTTAGAGGCAGCAAAGGAAATCTGGTAAGCAAAGGAAACCGATGCAACGCAGAGAGTGTTGTATTAATGACCAATCCTTTGAAAGAATTGTTGCTATAGACTGGGGTTGGCTTTACCTGAGTTTCTACTTTCAGCTGTAGTTAAGATTATAATAACTAGCCTATACACGTTACTGGACAGCAGGATTACTATTGTTTTTAATGTATTACACCATCAGACAAGCTGTTGGGAGAGAACAGCTGGACAAGTTGGAGCTAGCCTCCTCTCAATTAGCTGTTAATGATTCTGTTTCTCAGTAATGAACTCACATCCCTCCAGTTTTACATCCCTACTAGTTTATTTCAGCTAACAAAACAAGATCCAGAGTACATATCTGTTGACTTGGAGCACCAGAGCTGTATGCTGAATCATCTCCCCTACAGCCTCACTGTACATTGCTCTACTTTTCTGTTTTCCCTTAGGAAAATGTGGGCAACACCATTTACTTACCTTACAAGTATCACTTTTACAAGGCTTTGAAGACATGGTACAGCTCAGTCTAGTAACTGATGATTACTTTAAACAGAGCACAGGCCCGTCAAGCAGAAATAAATAAACATTTTAAAACAAATTAACAGTCTAGTTTTAACCAATTTATCATAAGTGTTTCTATTGAGAAGTCATTGGTAAAGGACTGAAAAGATACCTGGAACTTAGGGCTCCTCACCTGCCTGGCAATGATTTCTAGCTGCTTGCGTATAATGCACAGTGTGTAGCTCAGATTTTCCCAGTCAAGGTTCATTTGGAGCTGATTTGTTTGCATTGCAGTGCTTTATAAATAGCAGGCATCCCCTTTCCCAGAATGCTATTCTATCAAAGTAGGGAAAAAGGAGAAAAGAAAGGGGGAAACTCGCCAAGCAGCAACAAAGGAGCATACAGAGCCACCGAGGGGCTTCAGGCACTGCTGTGCAGGCAGCAAAGAGGCAGAATTACTCAAAAAGATGTACAACCCTGCACGCTTGGAAACAATTACATGCACACAAATTACAGCATGCTTTCTGTCCACACAAACAAATTACAATGCCTTTTCTGTCATCTCCATATTATTCCATGCAGCCAAAGATAGCATTGCTCCTCTGAATTGTCATTTGTATTACAGTACAGCTCCTGTTTTACATATGCATAGCTGCTTCATCCCACTTCACTAATTCCACAGCCATATCTCAGAGTAGCTTTTGTCCCCTGTCCAAAAAGCCCACAACTTGGATTTCTCTTGCTTTCAGCACTAAGTGTAGCAGTCTTGGTTGGGATGATGAGCAAAGCAGGACAGCACACTGCAGCAAGGGGGCAGCTGCACTTGTGAGAGATTTTTCTAAAGCCCAATGACCTCCCCACATTTGGGCAGATTTCTGCTCTGTCTGTCATGAGGACAATGGGATTTCTAAGCAGATAACAAATCTGCACAGAAGCATGGGGTGCACACGCTGACTGGTTGGTTCTGATCCTGGAGCTGAGCACCAGCTATTTATCTTGCTTCTTGGACAGCTTTCACAATCTTTGTCAAGTTCTTTGTTGCTTCAACTAAACTGCTTCATCCGGATGGGGCAGGACTAGTTCAACTGCACTACAGAGGGGTGCAAATACAAATTCTTACTCTAAACAAAACAGCCTTTCAACAAATTACTCATTTTAAAATAAAAGAGAGACATTCAATCCCTACCCACCTCCTAAGAGCAACTATATGGAATTATTTTTGCTGAAATCAAGATGGTCCAAGTTAGGTTTCAAAACATTACGTTTGGGAAAAGTAATTATCAAGGAAAAATCAGTCATTAGGGGAATTGCTGAAAATCTGAAATATGTATAGCTCCACATTAGAATTAAAAGTCTCAGTTGTATGTTTACCATCCAAATCAGAGCAAAACTGAGCACAAATCCAAAATCAGAACAAAGTCTGGTATTGTCCCTGAATTACCCCAGGAGGTTTTGGATAGAAACAGCGTGTCCTACACAGACCAAAATGGTACAGTGCATTTTCAGGAGGTAGTCTGGACGACTAAGATTAATCTTCTTTTTTTCTTTTTACCATTGCAAAAGGTACTTCCTGTTACTGAGGATTGGTGTAATCAGCCACAACAGAAGTTGGGCCAACAATTTAAACTCTGTGGTGAATCTTTTCAAACATCTAATTGTATTTATTCTGGCTATATTTATTCTGTTTGAGCCCATAATGGAGGACCTACTTGCATTATGATCTGAACTCACTGGGTAGAGACACATAAAGCTAGGCAGCACAACTTCAGAAAGTGCATCAGAAAGACCTGTCCTCTTGACTTCTTGGTGATATAGGGTTTTCCTTTCTCTACTCTCCACATCATCTTGACAGATTGTGCCTTTCAAGTTCATTTATCTCTGATTGGATGAGGGGGTATTTCAGGAGTGAAAGGAAAATTAAGGAAATTGTAAGTAATCCTCCATCAGGACCCACCAGTGGAACAGCCACACGCCCATTACAGAGCACAGCTCACTCATCCCTACTCAGTCCTCCCAGACAGATGGTTGGAGAGTCAGGTGCTAGTTAGATCATCACCAACACCTACAGTTTCAAAAGAGAGAGATCAAAAAGGAGATTACAGTTGTAGGTGGAGACACAGAAAACGTAAAGCTAAGTTGCAGTGCCTCTACTTGCTATCAGCTAGTCTATATCTGAGTTTCTTATCCTACCAACTCACCCTACTGCAGTCAGGCAGGTCATGAATTCTTCAGGTAAGCCCTTATCCCTTGTAACAAATAAAAGTGCCATAACAACCAACCGACACTTACCACCTCCCCCTCCCTTTACAGGATGAACTGAAGTCTCATCCCAGCATACTTTAAAGGACCCACTGGCACACACTGCACAAGGACACAAGCATTTTATTCTTTCAATCTTCCTTTTCCCGCAGCGTTCATTTGCACATCACTAGAAGCTAAATTTTGTCCTTAAAACTTACTTCCTTCTAGCTCCTTAGCCATCCTTGCTTGAACATTTAAAAACTCGTGGCTAATAGCCTTTCTACATAACAAAGCCACTGTTTCATTAGAACCCCTTAGCCACCCCTCTCTGCCTTTTGGTCCTCTCCTATTATCATCACAGATTTCCACCAGGATTTTCCATTAGCATTTACCACTCTCCATTAACTTATCAATTTTACCTGTCTTGCTTAAGTGAGGAAAACCTTTATGTACTTTCCCATTTTCCTAAAATGCAATGCTGTCAAAGCTCAGGCCCAGTTCTTCCTGGGGATCATGGGAGCTGTAATTTTCTGAAAACCAAGCCTGTGCCCCCCTAAAGCTATCAGCTAAAAGGGATAGCAAACTTCACCTTCTCATAGAATTGATCCAAGTATTTTTCAGGCAAAAATAACCTGTAAGCTTTTCTCATGCTGTAAGTTCTATCCCAGAAAATTTGAGCAAACATATTTCTTAATCATGACATGAGAAATGTAGGTATGTTATATATAATTTTATTGCAAAATTTTACCAGGAGGAGAAGAAAAAGGAAGGAGGCTGAATGTTATATGAAATACCAAGAAAGTATCTATGAAAGGTGTCTCAAGGGAAAGGGTAGCCAAGGAGAGAGTTCACTAGATGAGAGAGGCTTTCAATTTGAAATAAGGCTGGATGTGATGGTGACTGGGGCAGAACTCAGACAAGAGGAAAGTAAAACCATCAGTTTAGTAAATAAGATTTGCAATTTAACAGTTACAGGTTTGTCTCAGACCAATGACACAGGACACCTGAGTCACCTCTTAAGGACAAAACCTGCGTGTATCTAATACAACACAATGGAGTTTACATGAATTATCCCTTCTAAAGGTAAGTTAGTAGTTTCTTACAATATTTAAGTCAAGTATTATGAGTTTGAGCACCCTCATGGTGGCAGGCTTTTCCTTTGGCCTGAGTTGTACATTCTTCAGCATGAACCTAATGCCTCTCACTCCTCTACCACTTGAGCACCTAGCAGAAAAAAACAGGTTTCATCTTCCATGGCCCCAGCAGGCAGCTGCAGTCAATGCTCAGATCCTCCCTGAGCCTTCTCAAAGCTAACCAAAGGCGCTTCCCTCACGTTGCCCTGGGATGCCATGTGCCCTGGGCCCTCCCCAGAGAAGGGGCTGTTCACAGGACTATGCTTAGGCAATGTAAAAAAGTGCATAAAATTATTTGCCATGACTTGAGCTAGCACTGCACTGCACCCTCCCCGTGCCCTGGTTTCAGCCTAGATAGTGCCAGTCACACTGATGTTTGGTTCTTGCTGAGTTAGGTGTGTGCCCTCTGGCTGGGCCAGGCCTCTCAGCCAGGAAGAACTGCTGCCATGATGGTGTGGGGCAGGAGGTGGCCGCAGGATGGGCTGAGCCAAGCCGCATACGTTGCACATGTCTGATTTTATCTGTTATTGTCACTTTAACATTGCTGGGGATATGTTGCAGAATTACTTTGGGTTTTTGAGCTGCGTCCTTGGAGACTTTTATTACATGGCTGATTATAGGTGACATCAACAGTACCCTTATTTTTAAAGCACAGGGCAGGACAGCTGATGGAAGAGAAATACACTACAGACTCTGCAAATACAACCTTGCTTAACAGCACAGCCTGTGCCAGATAGTATAAAAATATTTCTTCATTTGACCCAAGTACCTTGAAATCTGTAGTTACTTTTCCAAAAGAACAAGACCCCAGAAAGCAATCAGACAGCTTCATATGCTAATATGTTAAACTGCATGGCTTTGAGTACAATACAGATGTAATACCACAGCACCAAAGATTGATGAGCCTTGGCTTTTATCCATTTTTGCATTATTCTTTACTGCATTCTTCTAGTCTCCTGGATAATCATGCTGTCTGTGAGCTACAGCAGAAATGAGCCTGGCCCATGCAGTCATGACAAATGATTCTTTGTAGCTTATTGCAATGATGCTAAAGCTGGAACGAATTCCATTAACCAGCAATCAGAAGCCAAAATACCAGTAATGAGCTATTTTCTATTTGGAAAACAAAGACATTGGATACCTACTGTCAAAGGTAGGAAGTGATACAAGCTACAAGCTAAAGAAAATACCCAGGGGACGTGCACAAAGACTTTAAATAGAAAGTTTTGTGAAGAGAATGTAAACACAGGGTTTGTTTCTCCTTTGTATTACACATATTTTCATTGATGCAGTCCTGATTTCCCCAGGCTCAGAAATTAATAATGCCCAGGAAGGGAAATGCCAGGGGAATACAGAGCAATTCAAGCACAGGAAGAGATTAACTACATGGGCAGCATACATGGAAAGACAAGGGAAAGGGAATGATGCCAAAGGCTATCGAGCTCTGTGAACAAATCATTCATTCCTTAAATTCCCTCCCTTTCAGTGTGTTAAAGGGCACTTGTGAATAGGTTTTGCATCTGAGCTGGTAACTTTTCTTGACCGTTTTGCAAAACTGATTTAAATACTATTGACACAGTCTTACATCTCCACCTCAGCTTAACAGTTAACCAGAGGAGGTGGGTTTTTGAAAGCCTTCTTTAGGTAAGGCCTGCACTAATACAATTTCACTGAAGTTCAGTTAGCCTACATTGATGACATTTAAATTTTGCCTCGGGTCTTTACTAAGAATTCATATATAACTGCTGGGGTTCTTAAATACATCTATCAAAAATAGAGCCATGCAAACAATGCAGGATCTCACATGTTCTATGTTTATTTTTATTTGTAATCGAGATTCTACATCTGCTGTCTTCATGGTTTGGTAGCACGAAGTACTGGAAGCCTACCAATACATATTTATATAAATTCTCTCTTTGGTCTCTTTTGGTCAAAGGACAGATTCCTTTTCTCTTCAAGTCACTAATAAGTCACTGCAGGCTGTCTAGACTAATATGAACACATGATATCTCAACAACGAATGTGAGGCTAAGTTTAAAGTAAGGATGCTAAAAAGAACAGTGTACTGGGGATCTTTAGAGACGGAGATTGCTGGCATCCACTTGGAGAAAGTATTCTGTTATTGTGGTGGTATTCTGAGCTCAGACTGAAATGTTTAGAATGTGATCTCAGATGGTTACAGCAGTCCTTACACATGGCTATTCACATATGGCTCTTCACTGTAGCTAATAATTGCACGACAGAATGAAAAAGTAGTAAAAAGGAGGATGGCCTTGCATACACAGACTAAGAAAGTCAGTGACTACATTCTCCAAGTCTGCAACCAGAATTTATAAACAGCTATATTGCCTACCTTCACTTCTCATCTAATTGAAGAAAAAAGCATATACAGTTCTTGCAGTCAGCCCATTTATTTTGCTGAACTATCTGTGCCCAAGGATGCTGCTTATTACTAGATGGGTAGAAGTACAACAAAAGGCCAGGGAAAATTGCCTTTTGATTTTGTCAGGTATGGATGAATATCTTTTTGGCAAGGCCACAGCAGCCCATTTCTGAATTAACTGACTTTTCAACACAGAGGCAGAAGAAACATAAGATACAAGCACTCACAGACTGTCAGGAAGACTGCAGAGCTTTACAGGGGTTGCAGAACTTGGGCTGCTGTTTGGCTTCCAGACACATCACATTTAGCAATTTGTACAGGACGGGTACACTTGATCTGTACTTAACCCAGTCAGCCCATCAGCACTGGGCACTTTGGTGCTTATGTGCATTTGTGAAGACCGCTGAGGACTTCCCAAGGATCAGTCACAGAGGAAAATAACACTGTCCAATTCTGCCTGAACTTATCCCCATTTGCTCTAGTTGGTCTGGGAGGCAAGAGACCCTTTGAAACCAAAGCATCTTACTCCAACCTCTCCTTTGCATATCCTTTGCATTTACTTGTCAAAGCAGGTGGCATTTTGCTCCAGGCCACTACGGTGGGTCAGCATGTGTCAGTATGCACTGAGAGACTTGAATACACCACACCAGGAGCGATTATGTTCACAAACAGATTGAGAAAGGGAGTACTGTTTTCTTCATTTGACACAGAGTGGGCTGAGATTCAGAAGCATATAGGGTGTTCTGTCTCTTAAATATTTTATGAATTGTAGTACTGATTACGAAAAGATCCGTGCCAAAAGAATAACAAATTACAAATAATAAAAAAAATCACGGCAGAAGAATATTGTAAACCTTCTATCTTGCTTTATGTTCTCTTACTTGGATGGCTTCCATAGTTCAGCTAGAGATGGGAAAGGTGATGAGGACACATCGTGGCTGTGGACTGCAAAGGGCCACCAACAACCTGCTTACGAGCAGTATGGCTTGAAAGGTCTTCCTCCAATTTTCTCCCATAATGCCAAATAAACCTGGAAAAAAATAACAGAATCAATTCACTAATCAAAGGAAGGGCTAAAGCAGCAATCATTAATTCGATTCCAGTATGAATTATCTTGTGCAATACAAGTTATACAGGCATTAATTTGAACTTTGGATAGATTTCCTGAATTGCATCTCTAAATCTTTTTGGTAGCTGCTTATCTTTGTTACAAAAAATAATCAGATTGTTTATTTAGGTGTTATGCAAACCATAAGAAAAATTAAAGATATTAAAGTATTTACTTATTTAATTTGCAAATCTCTATACTGATTCAAGTATGATAAACATAAAAATAGTAGTTTTTAAATGTAAACTGGAAGCAACAAGCAGAAATACACAGTTCTTACAGGATTTAGCATTCATCTTCTCTCATTTTATACAGCTTTATCTTCTTGATTTGTCACTGCAAGTGTCACTTAGTTGCACTCATGTTAGCTACAAGTTTTTATGTGGGCAAAATTTGCACAGACAAAAAAATAATCTATAATCATACAGCAAGTTACATTTGTACTGATGGCAATAACAGATGTGTGCTCAGATTATTTGTGGTTCCTATTTGTGACTGTGACCAAGCAGCCAGCCTGTCCTTCAGGTAAGTGAAGCGAAGCGAAGGGTGCCCACACTGTGATGGGGGAAGCTGTGTGCTGGCACCACCTGCGGCTCCTGGGGCCACCCAGGGAAGCAGAAGGAGATCCCACCTGCCGATCATGGGGCTGTGGGTGAGACTTTCTGCCCCTGTGGATGATGGGCAGCTCTCCTGGACATTTTTCCTTGAAGACCCATTCAAGCAGATGGATGCAACTCTTGAAAACAAAACAAAACAAAGCACCTTTTCCCTTTCGTGAGTGTGTAAGAGTAAAAATACTGGTGCATAGGAGAAGCAGAAGGGGGCTCAGGCTGAGCTGCACAAGGGCTGGGCAGCACCCACCTCTGGGCCATGATGTGGTGCACTACAGGTGCCTCAGCACAGCCAACAGGCGTCCCATCTGCATCTCATCTGATGCTGAAAAGCATGAGCTCTCACGGGCACACATTTACATAAATATTTTGTATTACCTGGGAAATGCAGAGGGCTTTGTGTACACACTGGACTACGTGAAGGCTTAGCTAGCCCTCTGCGGCACAGCTGTAGGCATGCATCAAGCTTTTATCATTTCTCCCAAGCCCAACTCCAGGCACTGTTTGGCTGGAGACCGATTTTGAGAAAAAATCTGCTTGATTGACCAGAGAAGCCCCACGAGAGCTGTGAGGTGGAAAGAGAGGTCAGGAAAAGGACTGTTCTTATCAAAAAGGCATCACCGAAGCTCAGTGCAAGGTTACCTGCTGCGCGATGTGCCACCTGCAGGGCAGAGCGACGGAGCGATGCTCCGTGCCACAGAGCCCACGGCAGGGTGCTCCCACCGCACACAGCCTCGCGAACGGACGCCCCGCCGCCTCGCACCTTCCCCAAAAGCTGTCGGCCGCGGGCCTGCCTCGCCGCCTCAAGCAGTAGGGCAGGGCCTCGCCCTGCCACCGCCCCCGGGCCGCCTCGGGGGCCGGCGGCGCCGGGAGGGGAGGCGGCCCCCGGCGGCGGCGCTGGGCGGCGGGAGGACCGCCTCGGCGGGCGGCGGTGTCGCGGTGCCCGGCGCCGGGAGGGCGGTGGCGCGATGGTGAGCGGGCCCGGGGACACGGAGGGGGTCGGGGCGGCCGGCTGCCTCTCGGCGGGCAGGAGCGGCGGCCGCGCGGGCTCGGTTGCGGACGGGTGTGGGGTCGTTGGGCGGTCAGCCCGTTCTGCTTGCGGGCTGCCGGGCGACATCTGCGAAGTAGCGTGCGAGACGTCTGCTCCGTTCCGCTTCACGCTTGTAGGAGGCCAAGATAACGGTTATGCTTTTTACTGAGAGATGCAATGCCTGTCAAACGTTATTTGGAGTCTTAAACTGCGGTGGGAGGGCACGTTTGGGCTGCAGTTGGAAAATCGGTGTATCTTTTCCGTGTTCCTACTTGCTTTTGCAGTATGGATTTATAAATACATGCCTGAAGTCTTTGGTGGTTGATAAGTACGGTGAAGAAATATGGGAAAAATTAAGGTAAGGTGTTTGCAATAAATGCAGTGCAATGTATTGAAAGAAATTGTTCACAAATTTAGCAGAAGATTCTAATTCCTTACTGATAAATGGCAGCTGATGTGTATCTCAAATAGTTATTAGAGGCAGGTAACAGAGCAGAAGCAAAAGTTCTGGTATTAATTTGTTCAAATTAATTTGTTACACTACGTAATTAAGCATGACATTTTGTCTTACGGAGAATTGTGTGATAGACTCACTGTGACAAAAATCTGAAAGTAATTACACAGAAGAGCTGTCATTCTCAATAAGAAGTCAGTTTCATTCCAGTACCTTCTGGAAAACAGCTAAATATATAATCTTTTCTGCTTTCGTCATTACTGCATGAGCATTCTGGCATTTTCCAAGAGCTAAAGATACATAAACGATACTTAGATATCCACAAAAAATAGCCACCGAAGCCTGTATAAGAATTCAGTTTTGGTCAGGACTGTGGAGACCCAACAGCTTGCTAATGTGGCCCTATTGAGCAACAAGCAAGTAGAGCAGGAGACAAGCTAGCGCACTAATTGCTCCAGTACCTCCACATTAGGAGTTGGACTCAATGATCCTTTATGGGTTCCTTCCAACTCGGGATATCCTGTGATTGTATGGTGCCCTAATCCTTGAAAGAATTTGTCATAATGCATTAACGTGAATTAGCAGAAGTGTGGAGGCAGATACACTCTTAAACCATTACTGAAAGTAGTGTGTTTCAATATAATGTGTGAAGGAGTTTAAGGAATCGGTGAGCTAAGTAGTGTTTAATGAATGCTGATTCAGTCATCATACTTACACCACTGAGAGAAGGATATTGTCTCTTCTGTTGTAGACTCCAGGCTGGAGTTCAGGATAGTTTCTTGACTTTTGGAGTTTACAAAGATGAGATCACAATGCAACTTGTTGACAAAGCCTGCAAAATATTAGGTATGTGTCACCACACCTTAAAAATAAACCCTTCAGATTCACTCCTGAGACTACATCCCAGATTTCCTCCTCTGCTCTTCAGGATGCCTTTCCTATGTTGCAAACATTCTGCATTCACTCTTAATCCATCTGACAGCACTACCAGAATTTCCAGGCCTTTTGTATTCATTAAGATATTATCTTGCCAGGTGTTCCTGCTGATATGGTTCTGAGAGAATTTGGAGAGTATTTCTTTGAATTTTGTAAACGTTCAGGTTATGACCACATGCTGAGAACGCTGGGTGGAAATTTGTATGAGTTCATAGAGAACCTGGATGCATTACACAGCTACCTGTCCCTGTCTTACCAGGCAAGTTCAAGTAGTAATTACTGTGTGGGTATGGGTGTGCTCTGACAGTCTGCAACCCAAGGAACAGCATGTTGTAGGTATGAATGAGTAAGGAAGAAAGAGGCCATAACAGCCTCTACTGTGTTCTAAAACTCATTCATCCAAAATGTTAGGACAAGTTTTTTAAAGTATTCTTTTCTGAGTAGTTCTCAAAAGTAGATATTGTTTAGCAAATTAACTCTACTGGATAGGAGATAACCCTTCACAGTTGAGCATATTTAATTTTCTATATTTTAGCTTATTCATATTACTGCTGATTTCATTAAGGCACAGGATGCTTTTATACAATTGAAATTTACCATATTTCTTATCAAAGAAGGATACTGAAAGTTGTTCTTTTGTCTCATCAGGAGATGAATGCACCATCTTTCAGAGTAGAAAAGAATGAAGACGGGTCAATGCATTTACATTACTATTCAGATAGAAGAGGTCTGTACCATATTGTGCCAGGTAATACAGAGTACAGATCAACTGGTATGCAGTATATGTATGGACTAACCATATAATTGCAGATATTCTTTTCTCAGGTATCAGGATCTTTTTCTCAGATGAAGACTGGCCAAAAAATTCAAACCTGGTAATCAGACAACAGACCTCTGTATTTCCCTGCCTGCCTAATCACTTGTAGCTACCACTGGCTTCTACGAGATTTGCACATGCCAACCCAGCCCTTATGTGTCTGTTGCTGCTATAGAATTCCAGTAGACTTCCTTTGGTGGAAGGAAAATTGAATTTCATGTTTGTATTGATGTTGATTGATTCTCAGTAATTCATATTCTTTAAATTACAGTGAATAGCAGTGGTAGTTTGAAAGCATATGTATAATCCTTAGATATGTACTCCTGCAGTACATGCAGTTTTGTAGATCTGCTGTTGGGCCCTGCTCAAAACTGAATCTTACTCCAGCAATGGTAAGAGTTAAGATTTTTTAACTTTGGGAATCTCCACAATTATTCTTATGCAAGAGTTATATATCTACAAGTATGTAAGAGATAATCATATTCATTTATTTCCTAGATGTTTCTAAATGAAATATTTTTATCAATTTCCCCTACCACCACCACCACTCCATATCAAAATTCATTTCATATTCCTCTCGAAATACAGAGTTACTTGGAATTTTCATTTTGTTCAGTATTTCACTTAGTAGCTAAGAAGAAATGAGAAGACAGATATTGCATCTTCGTGAAAGACTTACTTGAAAACATTCTGCACCACTCTAGAATATTCTGCAAAATCTGTTTCATATTCTACTGAAATAGATTGTTTTAACAGAATCTCTTTAGAGCCTGTACAGTTCTGGGGCTTTGGGAATTTGTATTTTTTGCTATGTGTGACATTTGGTCACATTATTCAGGTATTCTGAGCTTTTTCTAGTGAAAGTAAGCATTTGTTGTCAGACAAAGCAAACAAATAATAAAAAAAACTCCCAAACTATAACCTTAAAAAATATCTCATATGTACATAATCTCATCCTAGTAACACACTGGTAGTAGGAACAACATAGGTAACTACAGGCCACTTTCTTCTTCCAGTCTCATTTGGTAAAGCAGTTCCTGAAACAGTGAAATATCATTGTGAGCTTGCTGAAAGGGAAATGGAAAGATTTTGCTGTTGGCAATGTTGTGTTTTTTGTTTTGCTCTCAGGAATCATCGGTGCAGCAGCCCTGGATTTTTTTAACATTGAGATTTCAATGGAAATAGTCAATCAAACGGAAGAAGAAGAAAGAACTGGGAAAAAAGAGCATATTGTTTTTCTTGTCACTCAAAACCCTGTACTTCCATATAAAGAAAGAAATAAATTTTCTTTCTCACCTCAGTATCTTGCTGACTCTGAAAAACAAAATGATACTCGACTGAACAGTAAGGTATGTTAAGATTCATTATATCAATAAAGTATGATTAAAATAATACACCCTTGAAAATCCCCTTGGATTTATTTCAACAGGATCTTGAGAAATCAGAGAATACTATTAGAGGAGGGTCGGTTTGTCCTGTCAAGAAAAGTCACTGGAAAACTATAAGAGGAATAATCACATTAGGAAAAGGTGAGAACATTCGGAGTGAGCTTGTCATTATCTATGAGTCTTTTCAGTAAGAAAGTCAGTAAGCCTCGCTGAGTCCCCCCACCTCTCCATGTTGAAGTTACCATTTGTGTTTCCTCTTCTTCTTTTCAAGATGTTTCTGGTTAAACTTCTTTCAGTTAGGCACTGGCAATCAAAAAAAAGAAGTGCAGATAATAAGCATGCTTACTAATGACAGATACTTACATGGAATATGACCTGTCACTTTTGTCTTGTAAACAGTCTTCTGAAAAGTGTTCTGTAAAGTACCGTTCTGTGGAATGTCTCATACTTCCCTGTCATGTCACATTGAACTGATGAATTTAAGAGAGTGCTTTTTTAACTTAGTTACAGCTATTTCTTCCAACTGTAGTAAATTGCTCTGTGCTTTTTGTATTGCTGAGTTTCAAACCTGGCCATCTCATTATAATGTAGAGTCCTGTCTTATAAAATGTGATGCTGACTGGTCTTATGAGGTGCAATGTGACTGAAATCTATACGCTTATCTTGCCACAGGTAAACTCCTGAGAGGGTTTGACCCTGTTTATCCCAAGACTCTCTGGATTGACACAAAAACATTTTGCAATGGGCTTCCTTTTCATATGGTTTTTGACAAAGAGGTAGGACAGCAATATAGTAAGGACATTTAATTTGCCTAAAGCATATAGTTATTTTCTGCTGCTGTGACAGTCCTACAGATCATTCCTATGTATGCTCTCTGTACAGAGCATGTTCCTTTTTAGCATTTACAGAAATGCTTTGGATAGAGACATGAAATAAAAGTTGCTCATAATAACAGTCGCTTAATTTTCTACAATAGAAATCACCTTTGACTTTATTGAGATCGCCACATATGAAACAGTCACAGTTGTGCCAACAAGGTATGTTGTAGCAGTCTACCAAACACAGAACAGAATTTTCTGAGGTTTCTGGCAACTTTCCTGTCCTCTCATGTGCCAAAGACACGATCCATCCTTTAAATTGGCTTTGCATTTAACAAGCAGGTCTCCCTTCTCCCAGTTAACAATCTATGCTAAGGCTTTCTTAAGACTTGCTTTGCAGCTGAAGCCCTGCATGCTTTCTGAGACTCCACAGCAGAAAAACCCAGACATCTACTACTCTTTATCTAGTAGGAACTGGACCCAAAACTTTATCTTGCTCTTTGAATCTTTCATATACATATATTCTCTAGAGCAGTGGAATTGCCTTTCCCTTTGCAGGGGCTACTCTGTGGATAGTTTCCAAATAGCCTGGGCCCCCAACAAGGTGCAGTACCTCTTGCTCCCAGTTTTGTGCAGAAATTAGCTTAACAGAGGAGCGAAGACAGAAGAGTCTGAGAACAGAACTGCAGAAGATTGCTGATCGCAGCCATTCAGGAACATGTTCTGTCATTGTGCTGATAGAGAATATGCAGCTGTCTACATTAGCCAAAGTTTATTTTCTAACCTTTTGAGACATCCTTTCGTGATAAAATTCATGGTGTAGAATAAGGGCAACTCCTGCAGCCATTGTTGGTGGCTGGGTTAGAGTATCCCTGATGACAAGGAGTGATGGCAGACTGGACGTTTCTGCAGGATTTAAAAACTCATGTATGGTCATCAGGCTAAAAGAGAATGACTGAACATTTATACAGTAATGGTTAAAAGAAGGTAATCAGTGGCATTCTTTTGAAAACTAAAGGTTTTCAGGACCTTTTGTGTCACAATTATTTTCTATTTAGAATGCTGGTATCTCTATTTTTCTCTTTCAGTTACATACAAGGCTGAGAGGATTCGTCTTCATATATACATGTATATTGTATCATGCCTGTAGCTGCATATAGAATGTATATAAAGTATACCTGTTTAGTTTTAGATTTTAGAAGGAGGTATTAGAGACATCTCCCTTGAACATTCTCATACAAACATAGATGCTTGCAAGAGCCATGAGAAATTAGGGCTTCCTATAGCTGCTATGGAGCTGGAGAAGCTGGGCCTGGGAGCACATGCCTCCTGTCTCCCACTCATCCTGCTGTTAATAGTTGGATAAAGAAGCTGTAGCCTCCTTTCTCTGCTTTCTTTCCCCTAAGGAGTCTACAGGTACAACATAAGTAATAAATTACTTTTAAAGAAATTGTATCATCTGGCACTAAAATTATAAATTCCCTTTTGTCCAAAGTTACTGTGATATCAGTTATCCTTAGGGAGGAGTGCAAGGATGAAAAAAAGGGAAAAAAGTGGAAGACTGAAATGCTTATTTCTTTACAACACTAGCAAGTATACTGAAAATTACTGTGTGTGCTATCGTCCTGTAGGATATTGCCATGAAACAGTGTATTTTCTTCCCTCAGTAGTATGCTTAAATGTGCTGGAATCAGCAAGATTACATTAGGCAAACACAAGTACATGCAAAATAAGAGCAGATATGATTTTTTTTTTTTTTTAAATTGATACTGAACAGCACTTGGATAATAATATTCCTTTCTGGGCCCTTGGTCTTGCTATGAAGAAAACTCATTCAGAGTTTTATAGTAATAAGATAGTTTTGTACTGAGTAATAAGAGTTTGGCTAATAACATAGAAATAATCCACATGGTATTACAAGGCTGAGTGTGTATATGTATGTAAGCAGTACTAAGCTGTAGCTTGATCTGACACCAAACAGGATGTGCATTGTATCACATTGTCCATATTCTCTTTTTAAGCTCAGAGTGAAGCAAGCTGGGGTGAGCATTCAAAAGATCGTACCTGGCCTTCAGACCATGGGCATCTGTCTGGATCACTATTTCAGTATCGTTCACCCAGAAGTACCCTTCACCATCTATAGCATTCAGAAATTTATCAACAGCCAATTCGTTTTCCAGACCAAGAGAGAAATGATGCCAGAGTCATGGAAACAGCGGCCAATGCTAGAGCTGAGAGGTACTTCACTGTTTTCAGAAGTGTAAATGCTCATATTAAATGAAGAATAATGCTGGAGTTAAACTAATGTCTTTCTGTGGACTCCTGGCTTCACATAAATTTTAGAAGTAGACTTGTTTGCAGCAAGGGAAGGATTAGATCATTCTCTTTACATAAATAGTACTTCGAAATGCTCATAGACAAACTCAAATATTACCTCATGAGATTTTGGAGGCTTTCAGTTAGTACCAGCATTCCCATTTGAAAGGCTTGGAAAGCCTTGGGACCTGTGGAATGTGGAAGAGACACAGAGCCAGCTTCTGCTCTCAGAACCATTAGGCAGAATGTGGAGATGCAGTGAGCTGTGTAAAACTGTCTGGGTCTCACCTTCCCATAGCCTGCAAATCAGCATATCCACGTGAAATAGAATCACTTTGCATTGCTAAGAATTTTCTTTGATGAAAAAATTACTTCTTTGTACTTGGAACAACATTTTGAGCCCAGCCAACTAGCACAGATACCAGTGCACAGATCTTGGATTACATCCCTGGCACGTAAAGAAAACAGTTAAAACAATGGGTGAGGATTCCAGCAATACACAGCAAAACACATCTCTGCTGTCAGTGTGCAGTTCCAGTTCTGTCAGGGGAAGGGGAGAAAAGGGATAGAGAAAGAGGGAGGAGCTTAAAGATAAATTCCTGGTAAAATTTCTACAGCTGGAAGAAGAGAAATGTCTTCCCCTGTGACTCCGCACATTCTGATCTCTAAAGTGTGAATATATTAATTCTACAGATTTACTTCATACCTTTGAAGGGAGTTATTTGGTGTACTGGATAGGTTTCAAATGCGGATAAAAATAAATTAGTTAATGGTGCTTTTTTATTATTCACATTTGCAGATTGATTTGTCTTTTTTTTTTTCTCTCTATTATGTTATGGAAGAGTTTACTGGTTGAAATTGTTGTAGCAATAGAGATTTTATTTTGCTCTATTTTTACTGAGAGAAATGAGGGAATGAGCATAGAATAATTCTCCATGTAATTAACTAAAATGACAGTTGTTTTAAGTACTCTGTGACCTCAGTTTTGCTCCTTTGAACTATAGAATATGACCTAACTTTCCTTTATTTCCTATCACCTCTACATGATGAGTGCCAAATCATGAGATTCAGAAAAAAACTAAGAGTTTAGGGAGACCTTGAAAAAAGTGTTGTTAACAAAAAAGGAATTTTAGCCACGGGTAAAATTTTACTTCCTATTATTCAGTTAGGTTTTTTAAAATAGAACACAAAATAACAACAAAAGAAACCCATAACCAAATCTCAACCCTGAAAACAAAAACCCAGTCCTCCACTAAAAATCTCTTATAACTTTCAGACATATTTGTACCTGTTTATTTATGTGAGTGTTCAACTTAAAGCTCCAGCTTCTAGAAGAGAAACTTCATTGACTTTAGTGGGACCACAATTTACCCACTGTGAAATTTAAGTCTTTCACTTAAATTACTTTGAATCTCAGTTTCCCAGTGTACAATGCAAGGGAAAGGAGAGATGTTGTGAGCAATTGTGATTCCTATTGAAGAGAAGGAACCCAAAACATAGGCTCTATCTTGCATTTACAATGAATGAGTGACTGCTTTCTGAGTCCTGAAATCTTGTTATTTACCTAGTACACTTCATCCGTACCAACCCACTTAGTTCTAGGAAACAATTGCAGTGATGACACAGACCCTACAGAAAGCTACCATCCTTAGAAATCATTCCCTGGTATTTATATCAGTAGCACTGAACCTTACACAGAATTTCAGGGCGATGAACTCTCTTATCAGCACTTGTTTTAAACAGGCCAGATGATCTGGATGGAGTCTCTGCAGTGCATGCTCTATCTCTGCTCACCTTTACTTCGCACTTTACATGAGCTGGAGGAGCGACAGATGCATATTGCAGACATTGCACCTCATGACGTGACCAGGGATTTGATTCTTCTCAATCAGCAGCGACTGGCAGAGATGGAGCTCTCTAACCAGCTGGAGAGGAAGAAGGAAGAACTGCGGGTACTGTCAAAGCACCTGGAAGAAGAGAAGAAAAAGACTGAAGCTCTGCTCTACGCCATGCTTCCTCAACATGTAGCAAACCAGCTGAAAGAGGGGAAGCGAGTTGAGGCAGGTGAATGAACAGTATTCGTTCATAAAGCATGAATCATGCACCCACTGTGATGGTGATAGAGAGACTGGGAACTAGCACAGCCACAAAGTCATTGCTGTGAAGTAGATTTTCTACTTAATGACATTCATGGGTAGTAAATCTGAGAACGACAGATCCTTCATTTCACTGGTAAAGTAGATTAGATTATTATTTTATTTCAGACATAACTTTGGAAGCTATTTGCCAGTATTGTTTCCTAGGAAATGAAAGGTAGCAGCTGCCCATTCAGGGACAAAATTTGATGTTTCAACAGTAAAATGGGCTTTTGTTTTTAAAATGAGTATACAGGGACATGAGGGCTCAAAAAAGAAATACAGAAATCAGTCTTTCTTAGAAAATTTTCCTAGCTTCTCTGTGCTGCCTATAAACCTGGAGTTATCATGATTCCTATTTCTCTTAAGGATAGTAAGTAAGAATATTCTTATATATTCCCTTTAGTAAATACATATATGAAATGAAGAGCTTTGTATTTCCTGAATGTAGGTGAGCACAGGAACATATTCAGAAGTCTGAACTGTTTGAAATGATGTGTTGTAGTTTTTATATTTGAAATATTCTTATATCAACATCTTTCATATCTGGACACGTGTAAGTACTACAGCTGAAAAATCATGTGTCCTAAAACAGTGACTAGAAAGAAATCCTTGCAGGAAACTGCCATGGTTACCCAGCCATTACTGTTATTTACAGCTGTTTTTTTCTGCTTGCAGGAGAATTCAAGGAATGCACCATATTGTTCAGTGATGTTGTGACCTTTACCAACATTTGTGCCCAATGTGAGCCTATTCAGATAGTTCTCATGTTAAATTCAATGTACCTGCAGTTTGACAGACTGACCACTGTGCATGATGTATACAAGGTATGTTGTTGATTAAGACTATAGAAATAGTCTGGAATCAGACTGTTTGCTTATTTATTTATTATAATTATATATTTTTAATGCACTTAACTGCTCTTTAACCCAGCATGATTTCCTAGAAACCATAAAATACTGCATATTTATAGTGACCATATAGAGAAACAAAAAGTCAAAAACATATGAAGACGTGATTAAATGTGTTGAAAATTTTGAAAAGGAGAGTAACTTCTGTCATTGGCTAGAGTCTCTTCAAAATACTAATACCAGAACTGCTGTTTTGATACATCTCTTCTCTCTCAAACACCCATCCAAGATCCTAGGATATCCCAGTTCGTGGACCAATCTGAATAATTTTCCTAGTCCCTTTATTCCAATCTCTTGTAAAGCATGTCAGTGTGTTATTAGATGTCTCCTTTGGTGGAGATAACTACACAGTCAAAAGCTGGGCTTTGATTTCTTTGATTTTGGTTCATGGAGATGTTACGCAATGGTATGCATCTCCTCTTGACCTCTGAGAGCACTGATTAGATCTAAACTGTAGCACACATACTGTCTTCAAACTGTGAAGGAAGGATGAGAGCCCTGCACAGCACAGCACTGTTAACAACTCCAGAGCTACTTAGGTTTTAACAGCTGATCCTAATTTTGTCTGTCCCTAGCACATTAAATATTTAAGAAGGCAGAAATAGCAAAGAGCGAAATCCAAACCTCATTCATTCCTTACTGGGGCAAGACAAGCAGTTCATCCTGCAATAAATTTGTACCGGGAAATCAGAAGGATTTCTGCCTTGGCAGGGAAACTCTTTTCAATAATTGAAGCAACCAGAATATGGCCTTCAGATTTTAGAATGGATTAGCATCATGTTCTATCTAAATCATACATCTTGAGTGAATTATCTGTCGTTATAATAATCTCCTTTTGATGCCTGCATACAACTCCCATTAATATTAAAGGAGGTAGCTAGAGCACAGAGAAGGAGGACAAGATGATTATTTCAGGGATCTGTGAAAGAAATGAAATACTGAAATCGATCAATGAAACTTGGCCCATGCTTATAAATGCCTGAAGTCATGAATTAATCTTGTTAAATTAAAAAACCTGTCACAGCCTAAAGATAATTGGGGTATCTATTTGTGTTAGTAGCCTCTTACAGTTATTTTTGTCTTGTTAGAGAAATTACTGGTATTACTGTGGTTTGCATATCTTAATAGCAAATATGTACAGGAACATGTTTTTCAGGACTAAACTACTGAACTGTTTTGAGTCATTATGCTAGTCATCAAGCCCAAAGATGCTCATTAGTAAGAAATCCAGTTAATCTAATTTAAGATGGTCTCTTATTTGCTGATGGTGAATGTAACAGTGAAATCTCATAAGAGCAGTTTACAAAATTTCTTGGCTGTGTAAGAGACTCTTACAATGAACCTCGAATGAATTCTGTGTTTCAAAAGGCCGTATTGCATTCCCTGCAAAATCCCTGATACGGGGACAAACCCTGAAGTATTACTCAGGTGCATTTCAGTGTGCATTTCAGGGAGACTGAACACCTGAAGTAGGACTAACTTTTCAGAATCTTTCTCACTGGCAGCACCATGTTGTGGGAGAACATCTGATTGTAAGGAAGGATATTCACAAAGTGCTAAGTTCACACCCTGCATTCTCTGACGTGCCATTGGGAATTGTAGGCTTCCTAATTTCACATGAACCACTTAATAATCACCAATGGATAGACTCTCTTGATTTATTGTGACTTTTAAAATGGAAATACACTCTTAATACCAATTGTGAACTGGAGCTAATTAATAGCATTTAACTATCAGATAACTTTCTGGCTCAGGAGTTGTGCTTGAGGATAGTTCCTTACATATAAATCTGCCCTGGTGGGGTGGAAGACAAGAAGTCTGGCACTTTCCCAGCATCTCTTACTCCTTAGGGTTTCTCACAATGGTATCTAAGCTGGGTCAAGTAAGCAGGGACAGAACACACTGAATTTTTCAGTTTGGAATCAAGGAATAGATCCCCATCTCAAGGAAATTCACACGTGCTAGAGCATGATTGGAAGCATGTTTTAGAAGGAAGAGGGAGTTGGTGCAGGTAAGGAGATCCTCCAACAGCAAAGCACTAACCTGAAGGAGAATTATAGGCAGTGCTCATATACTTGTCCTTCTCAATTAAAGGTGGAGACGATTGGAGATGCCTATATGGTAGTAGGTGGAGTCCCTGTGCCTGTATCCACTCATGCTGAGCGCGTTGCTAACTTTGCCTTGGGGATTATAATAGCAGCTAAAGGAGTACAGAACCCAGTTTCTGGAAATCCAATCCAAGTAAGTGGTTAACACATAGACTCTGATTCTTGGGTTGGGCTTCTGGTTAATGTATTGCAGTGGGACATCAAAGAGCTCCTTTTAATTTCTCTGTGACTGTGGTCACGTGGGTGCATTTTCCAGCAAAAGCCTTTCCCTGCGGATATTTGGTATTTTACTAGCACCCAGTGTTGTGTTAAGGTGGACTTTTAGGTGACTCAGTAGCATTAAGAAAGGTCGTAAATAACAAGTGACGTTTCTGGGGGGTGTTTTATGTCTTTGTAAAGATTAGAGTTGGGATCCATACAGGTCCTGTCTTGGCTGGAGTTGTTGGAGAAAAGATGCCTCGTTATTGCCTGTTTGGAGACACAGTGAATATAGCTTCCCGCATGGAGAGTCATGGTGTCCCAAGTAAAATTCATCTGAGCTCCAGTGCCTATCAGTGAGTAATTCTGATGAAAAATTTTCCTATTAAAAGCTGTGCTAAAAACACTGTCTTACAGATGCAGCTTTCAGATGTAGACGGTCCTATCTTTTGCCACTGATTTATGCAGCTTACTTGTAAAGAAAAATCACTGCTTGCAAAGAACTTAGTTTTGATCATTTCGGATGTCCTTGTATATAGAGGTTTGAAAGTCTCGATCCTAGAAAGTACAAGATGAAAAAAATAGATGTGATTTTTTTTGAAAGTACCAATAGCATGATGTAAATGCTAGAAATACATATAATTTAATTTGACATCCTGCATAACCAGAGCTTTAAAATCTCTCTTATTGAGTACAATACTCTGTGGCAGAATAGTTTTATTTGCACCTATTATGGATAAACTGTATAAATCACTATGTTATTCATGAAGTGAGGAATTCACTTTCCCAAACCTCTTGTCAATAAAAATTAAATACTGCATTTTCAAGAATCTTATATATGCACAAAATATGCAGGAAGAGGTGAAAGTGAAGACAAGCTGCAGAGGAGTAGAAAAACATGGACTGGGCACCTATGAGTGGTATTAGGAAATAGGAAAGCCAGAGACCACCTTAGCACTGGTGGGTTTTTTTGTTTGTTTGTTTGCTAACCTTGAATTTTCCTCTGTCATTTTAGCTGTCTAAAATACAAAAATTTTGAGATGACAGAAAGAGGAGAAATAGAAGTGAAAGGCAAAGGAAAGATGCATACATACTTCCTCATTAGAAATAAAACTGCATGTGAGAATGAGATTATGGGAAGGCCAATAAAAGACTTAGATTCTGGCCGTGAATCTGCTCAGTCCTTTCAAGAAGACAGGGCTGAGGCAGTGCCAAGTTCTCATCAGACAGGTAGAGTCAACTTGACATATCTTTATGTCCTTAAACAAATGAATGTTAATGCAACTACAGTAAGCGTTCTTTTCTGTTCTTCTTTCAGCTACTCATAATCAGCCAGAGAAGGACCAGACCACAACCATTGCAATGAAGTATCTTGATGTTCCCACAGATGCACAAAACAGCCTCAAAAGAAGCAATCAAGCAAAAATTGCAGATTTAACAGGTAGTTATTTAGTTACCATCTAGAAAAGGCAACAATTACAAAGCAACTTAGGGGGCTTATTCTTGCAGTTTCATTGTATTCCACTTCTGAATGCTGTGGCTTTATTTGAGACAGGAATTCATAGCCAGTATATCTATGTTGGGTAAACTAACCAACTAGCACATTGCTTAAGGCCAAACAAATTCACCTTCAGAGCAATCAGAACTGTTGGTCTTGTATTAGGTGGAAAGAAGCTGACATAGCTGTCAGATTTCAGCATCAGATAATGCAAAGAACTGATAACTTTTAGACAGCTCTACGTGAGGGTAGACACAATTATTCATATGCACAACTTCTCCTAGAAAAGCTGCCATTATTTTATGTAGTTATGGGGAAACCCTGATCAAGCCTGAGAGAGAGAGACCTTGTTGGCTCTGCAGCCTGTCAGTCCTCAAACCAGTCTCCTGTGGGGATTAGAAGGATTTATTTCCATGCCCACTTTCTACAGTCAAAGCTCAGTCTCTACTCAAGTAACGGATACTGAATGATGAGTTTGATGCCTTAACAGTCAAATCTAATGCAGCAAGTCTTGTAATTCTATTTGTTTAACCCATAGGTTTCATAAAGACTAAGAATATTGCCATTGATTGATTTCTGGGAGATGTTTCATTCCCCTCCCATCTATTTAGAAGTAGTAGTTAATCTAATATATGACAAATAGAAACCTCTGTGGTCATTAAAAACTCACACTGAAGGAGTATTTCTTTTCAGGCAAAAATTACAATTCAAAAAGCTATGGGAGTCTCCCTGGCAACCAGCATTCAGATGATGCTCCTCATCCTCTGAACAGGGGAAGAGTCAAACCAGATACTGAAGAGCCACAAATCAGAAACGTTCGCTCCAATTTTTGCAATTTGCTCTAAGTTTCTGACTTTTTACATTAATCAGAGCATTTTTATTATTATTTAGTGCATTTTCCTGTTTTGGGACCAATTTTCTATATGAGATTCTACATCATTTTCTTAAAAAACAAAAAAGACAGAAAAGACATTTCATCACAATTTTCAGCAAAAAGAATGGAAAGCGATGTTTTTTTTAACCAATCTGCACACGTCAGATGATACGTGGAGAATGAAACCACCACAAGATAAGTTGAAGATGCATTTTTCGGCTTCTCCCATTTCTTTGAATATCTCTACATAAAAATGACTGTTTGGTATCTCATGCAGCAGTAGGGAAAGAGGTGAGTCATGCAATTAGAAACGTTCATACTCAAGCAAGCAAGCAGTACAAGAAACGTTCCCTGAAGGGACCATCTGTCTTCAGCACAGCCAACAACCTCCTTGTGTAAGGTCAGCAGAATTTGGTCTGTTCTATCTATTTAACTATGATGACAATTAATCTCTAGTGAGTCGTTTGCTGAGGAAAAGCATTCTGCAATAAAAGTGCAGAATAGATTTCTATATAATACAGCTTATATTTTTGCCATCCTGAGGAGACAGTACTGCCTACTTTGTAGCACGTAACAATAAAAAACATAAAACAGTCTATGATCTTTGAGTCAGCTGTGTATGCTGTACTTAGAAGGCTTAAGAAGGAAATACACATTGTGAAATTAAGTGATATTGAATTCATCTCAACACTGAAGGCCTGTTCAAGGCCAATGAACTATCTGAGACCTTCCAACAAGCTTCAAGTTTATTTCCTACGGTCTCAATTCAGCTAAACGAAATTAAGACTTCAGAACTACACAGGGAGTACATCAATGCTGAAATTAATGCTGCTAACATCACTGAAAATAACAGTGTTAAGGGTCAGCATTGCTTACCTGGTGTCAGAGGCTCCCTTGCTGAGTTACTTCCATTCTGATATATTCTTAGATTGCACCTAATCAGAAATAGCAGAGAAAAATCAGAGTTCAGCTGTCAAGGATGTAAGATAGAGGAGCAAAATATAATTGATAAAAAGACTGTGGACAGTCTGGCGTATCATAAATCATCCTCTTGTTCCTGTATGTGGAGCTTGTAGTAGATGGAATGTACTGTGTTTTGGGTGAGTTTGACATGTGATGTACCCTGCACACTGATGTACTATCTTTGTGTGTGGATTCATTGTGTTAAATATACAAACATGAGACCCATTTGAACTTCCAGCAAGAACCCAGCGGACAAATCTATAGTGTGACTCCTCCCTTACAGCCTGGAGCATCACATTTCTGCCTCTGTCTGTGGCAGGAGCAAAGCCTTTTAAACACCAGATGGAGAGGTAAGACTGATGAAAGGAATTGCCTTCTCCCTATAGTGTAGCAAGATGAAATTTCACCTGGTTAGGTTTTGTTTTTAAATCCATTAAACAGTAGCTGTCCTGGCTGGGTGCTCTGTGGCTCTATGAACAAGCAGTGCATGCAGACCAATGAAGGAGGATGTGTAGGGTGAAACTGTGCTGCTCTCCACACACTGGGTATTTCATGTAGTAGCACATACGAAATGCCTGTTAGCTTCTTGAGCACCTTACAAGTGCATCTCTCAGCTTATTTTCATCCAGAAGAGATCCATTAATGTGCTTTGAGACCACTCTACGATTTAAAATGAAGTTCAGTTAGTGAGCGTAACTAGAAATTCACTTACAAATGTATTCTGGACACTGACTAAAATGCACTTATGAATGCACCCTTTAAAGCTTTAGCACTTTCAGCAATAAAACTGGGCAGCGCCAGCCTGGGAGAGTGCAATTTTCTGTCTGTCAGCATTTATTAATGTTTTTATGTAGATGGAGTTTTCTATCTAGACATTGCTCATTATTGTGGAGAGGTTGATGTGTGCTGTAGAGTGAATAATATACATCTAAGCATTACTGTTAAACTGGGTACGAAGATTCGAAGCACTTGATGGTGTGCTGCCCTCAGACATGCAATGCCTGCATTTCACCTGCATGTGGCACAGCTTCTGTTGTTCATGGCTTTGTATTTTCATGTTGTTACCAACCTTTAAAACAACATTCCTAAGGAAAGCCAATGCCTGATTTCTTTCTCATTCACAGTGGTGTAAATTCTGCAGTAACAGTTAAGTCAGCACTATCCCACCGATTTAACTTGAAAATTGACAAAATTTTCTTGCCTTCAGCCTACAGATGCATTTCACACTGATAAAACAGAACTTGTCATTTAACAAATGACAGTGATGGACTCCATCTTTTTCTGCATTTGTGATGGCTACATAAAGCTACATAGCCCCAAACTCACGTGTTGCACAGGAGGAAACATCACAGTTGCCAGTTAGTGCAGGAGGGAACTTCTTGCTGTCCCAGCTGCTCCCGCAGGATGTACCTGCATGGCTAAATCACTTACTCTCTCTTTAGAAGGGAGAATTTTTGATTGGAAGCACTCTGTAGCCCAACAAGCCTTGCCATCAGTGACTAGGATGTGGTATATGTTAAAGGGTTTAGGTATGAATCCTCTATGGGAGGAAGACAGAAATGGTTCATGGCTTAATTGCTGTCTGCATTACTTTGCACAAATTTTAACACTTGCTTTGCTTATACCTGTCCTTTCTGCACTGAGCAATCTATGAATATTTAATATTGGAATGTTTTAATTGCCAGTAAGTGCACCATGGTCAGATACTTTACGCTGTACTTCAGTGCATTTGATGTGCTCAGTGGTTTCTCTGTGGCCTCTGCTACTGCCTGGTCTTCTGCTTCCCTGTTAGAGATGTGGACCTTGGTCAAATCTGAACATCTTGAACTGCTTTTAAAAACGCCTGTGCACTGTCCTGTGTTCTTAAATCTGTAGATACTGCTAAAGATGTCAGTAATACAGAACTATCATTCAAAAATAAATGTTTCCATTAATGGACCGATTGTCATTTTTCAATGTCTAGTTTGATTCCTTTCCTTCTTTTCCACCATTTTTAGTTCTTCTGTTCTTATGAATATAAAAAAAAAAAAAGTTAAGACCATGACACCTCCAATAAACAAAGTTTAATTTCTTGACTATACACAGTGATATGCATTTTTGTGGCATCAGAATCAGCAGCCTGGTACAGTTAACACTGCTGTGTGCTAATACATGTGCTAACACGCGGGGACTGACCTGCACTGAACTGACACAGGAGGGGTGGGAGAGCAGAATTCGCACTGCTGCTTTGAGAAGGTTGAGGCAGACAGGATTTAAAAGTTGAGATTTTTGAAAGCCGTCTGGAGCACATGGATTCCCAAACCCCATTAAATCTGGTGTTCAAGCATGAATGTTCAAAAGCACTTGGGGTACCTTTAGAAGTCTAGAGGCCAGGTTTTCAAAGACGCTTGTTTCTCTGTTAAGTGAAACCAGCTGGATTTAGGTACTTTACACACGTCTAGTTTCTTGCAATTGAGCTTTCATTAAAACATTTAAAAAGCGTTTCCTTGTGCATGCTTTCAGAAAAGAGCTGTTCAGCAAACTTTCTTAACTGTAACCCAATTTGCTGGGAGTCTTTGATTAAAAACACTTCTAACATTACAGTGCAGCTCCGTATGGAGTCAAGCTGAAAATAAAATCCACAAATGAAACAGTGGTGAAACTGAAAAGATTATTTCATTGGGAATGTATTAAAAATGTTCTTGAATATATAAAACAATTTCAAAATAAAAAAGGAACTGATATTTTTTACACATGTATAAAACATCACTGAAAGTCAGGATGGTTTCTTTGTCTACCAGCTCTCTGCTTTCACTTTTGAAGACTCCAGAGTGTAAAAGGTAGACAATAAGACTGACAATTTGGGCAGTATTCACTCATCGGTACAGCCTGCGTGTTAAAAACATAACAAACATTTGCTTGTGGCCAAAGCAAACAGCACATGGGACACTATCCTTACTCACACTACCAGATCTATGTTATCAAGCACTCCTCATGTTCTATAAGCCATTTTATTCTTCCATTGGTTTTGCACCAGTATGCTGGACGTCTGCTAATGATTCTTGATCTGAGCTGTGTTCAGACACCATTCCTGAAAACATTTGAGTCCTCTGGTTCAGAGTCCTTCCTGTTCTCTCTTGGGGTACGGTATCTCTGATGGACACCAGCTCAGAAACAGATTTGCAGTCATGTTTACATATTGTTAGCACCTTGTGCTCCTGTCGAGTTGGACCTGAAGTGGACATCAGCAGTCACAGACAAGTTTTGCAAAAATTCCGAGTAATGTTGACTGGTTCTGTAACATCGCCTTGACTTTGCTGTGTTGGTATTGTGAAATTAATTAGAAGTTTTAATTACAGAAGAGACTCCCAGGTCCTTTAGCAGCTCTTCATCTTTTGCAACAAATACCTCACCTGTCAAGGGATCAGCAAACACAAGATGCGATTTGGTTTCCGCTTTTTGCAACAAACATAGCAAACCAGCTTTGACATCCTGTTTAAAGCAGTGCTGAGGTGAGGGAGCCTCGAGTCGTGTTGAGCAGAAGCTGCTCTGTGGAGGAGCTTTGCTATCATGTGGCTCCATCGCAGCATACATGCTTCCAGCCAGTTTTGTCATGGCTTCCATTTCCTTGCTGAACAACAGGGCAGTGACCCGAAACACCGTCTGGGTGAGTCTGTGAAGGCAGCCTGCCAAAGCGTTTTGCAGATAAGGAACCTGACACATAGCTATCATTTAAGGCCAATTTATCTCGAGAATCAATGGGCCTTTAAAAATTCACCAGCTCACATATCCTTTTCAGTGATGGTACTTAACTGTTTTGTGTCCTGATTTTGCAGGCTTTTGAAAGAACCTTGATTTCCAGCATAAGACACATCCATTGGTAACAGGAAACTAACAGCCTTTACTTTACCCCTGGAGAAAAATGAGAAAGGATTATGAGGATCGCAAATGTATAAAATGTGCACAAAACCCCCACCAGCAAGCCAAAAGTGAATGCAGGCAGCACTTGCATGATGTGTGTGGGCAGAATTTCCTGCCCTGCTGACACTGAGCTCACACAGCTCCCCAGGGGCCAGGCACGGTGTTGGCTGGCTGGCTGCTGGGAGCATCTGCCTTTGTCCATTAAGTCTTACAGTTCTATGCACTCCTGGCTCCTCTAGATAAATCCAAGGGGATACATCTGAATAGTAACTTCCAAAAGAAAAAATACTCAGTATCTCACATATGGTTATGATGTTAGAGCAAAACGTGAGAGACCTACTACTAAAATCATGAAGACCTGTTGCAGTGCAAAATGCCATCCCTATAAAAAATTATGCTTCATTAGCTTGGAGAACTCATTGCTACAAGTTATCCTGCTAGTAAAAGGCTTACCAAGATTTCTGCCTGCCTTAGCCCTCTGTGTGTAAGCGGCAATGGCCACAATTATGGCCTGAAAATATACGAAGCCTTTTATTCACACAAAAATCTCAGAGTTTCATGCTTTGAGATGTGACTTGGACTGTTGGTAAGGTGAGGTTAAAAAACAAAACAAAACAAAACAAAACAACCTCACTCCATAGTTATTTCTTCTGTTAAAGCAGCCAACAGTGCATTGACACAAGACCCGGTGCCAGACTTGGTGCAGGCCAGTGCTGCCAAGGCAGCTCTAAAGGG